TAGTAGCAATAACAGGTTTTTTAAAATGACCTCTGTGGCAGCCAAAGTGGACATCATTCACAACCACCAGATATCTGAAGCAGCTTTTCTGTTGAAACCTCATTTTAATATGACCAGGAGGAGAACCAAGAAAATCTGTCAGAAAAATATGACTTTTCAAATTATATTTTCTCCATTTGCAAGTATAAAAATTTAAATATGAGCCCTTCATCTGAGGAATGATTTTTGGACTGGAGTCACATTATCAACTACATGTTGAAATGGGAACAAAATCCTTCTGTACAATGGCAGAAGTTCCAATCCAGAATCAGAGTGCGACACTGGTTTCCCCTATATCATTCAACAGCTTTTCTTATTTTCTGCCGTGGGGTGTTATTCTCTCTGCTGAGTACTCTGATGTTATCCCAAGAACAATAATCATAATGATGCATTATGTTTCATTATTCAAATGTTATGGTAACCATGAACATCATCAGAGATACATGAAAATATATGTATATATATATATATATATATATATATATATATATATATATATATATATATATATATATATATATATATATATATGTATATATATATATGTATATATATATATATGTATATATATATATATATATATATATATATATATATATAAATATATATATATATATATATATATATATATATATATATATATAAAGAATACAAATCATATGGTGAATAACAACCCTTTCAAGCGTACTGGATCCACCAAGGGATCACGTTTGTCTGGGATTAATTAAAATAGATGCAATAAACTGACGATGAATAGTACGAAACTAGTAACTAACTAGCCTAAGCGCTTTCGACTCTTAATGTGTCTTTTTCAAAGGCAAATACAAAACATATATACGACAAACAAATAAACATAAAAACGTTGTGTTTGTAAACCTCTACATGGCTGTCTTCACATGTGCTAAAACTATAAATACAACCAGCTTGTATAGACTAGTTGCGGAAACTGAAAACGTATAATTCCCTAAAAGTCTTCAAGCCAAAGCGACATCTATTTTTACTTTTTGTACATATGTAACGCAGATTATATCCCGGATATTTGATTCTATACCGGTTATTCTTATAGTAAAAATTGAAGGATAATAAGAAGATTTAGAAAATGTTAAATTCTACTAGTGCATAGTTTTCATTTTCTAGTCTTCTTGGTTTAGACCGCTTAGTTTCAATGTTCTAAGGCAGCGTATCCAGTATGATTCCTTTTCCTTCCTGGTTTCGGAACTCCAGCTGTGGTTGTTAGCAATAGCGATAAGTATTATATCACTGAAAGTGTGGCCAATGGAGGAGAAGTGTTCTGCGACCGGGCTGCTGTACAGCTTTTTTGTCATCCAATCAGATCTATGAAGGTTTATCCTTTTGTGTAGCTTTTCAGTTTCTTCGACGTACTGAAGGCCAGATATCTTACATGTGATGAGATAAATCACATTCTCTGTTTTGCACGTTTTGTTTGGACCATGTATGTTTAGTTTTTCTTTAGTCACTGTGCTAGTGAATGTCTTGGTCTCTATCATATGTTGACAGGTTTTGCATCTTTTATCGTCACAGGGTCCAGATTGACTAGGTTGGTTTTGACTAGCGATTGGCGTTAGCTTTGCCCTGACTAGGATGTCCTTTAGGTTTTTTGGTCTCCGGTAAGCTACTACAGGTTTGTTCAGAAGTATTAGGTTTAGTATCTCTGACGATTGCACGGTTGGCCAGTGGTTTGCGATAATTTTACCTACTTTGGGATTGTCTGGGTGATAGGTCAGAATAAATGGTATCCTATCAGCCTTTTCTTTCTGTCCATATCTGAGTAGGTCATCACGGTTTGTTTGTTTGACCTTTTGGATTGCCTCCGCAATCAGGTTTTTGTCATAGCCTCGGTAAATTAAATGTTTAGCCAGCTCTTCAGACCTTTCTAGGAATCTTTCATCGTCGGAGCAAATTCTGCATATCCTCAGTGCCTGGCTATATGGAATGTTCTTAATGCAGTGTTTTGGATGACCGCTGGTTGGGAGGAGACACTGGTGTATGTCGGTTGTTTTCGAGTAGATGTCTGTGTGTAATTTGTTTTCCACCAGTCTGGTTGTTGTGTCCAGGAAAACATGGTTTGAGTTGGAAATTTCTGCCGTGAATTTTATTGAAGGATGGAAGTTGTTTGCCTTTGATATGAAGTCATCCAGACTTTCTCTTCCATACTGCCACTTCATTTCTATATCATCGATAAAGCATACCCACTGGTATGGTGTACGCTCAACCGATGCTAAGAGCTGACCCTCAAGTTTTCCCATGAAAATGTTAGCATACGAAGGGGCCATAGAACATTGAAACCAAGCGGTCTAAACCAAGAAGACTAGAAAATGAAAACTATGCACTAGTAAAATTTAACATTTTCTAAACCTTCTTATTATACTTCAATTTTTACTATAAGAATAACCGGTATAGAATCAAATATCCGGGATATAATCTGCGTTACATATGTACAAAAAGTAAAAATAGATGTCGCTTTGGCTTGTAGACTTTTAGGGAATTATACGTTTTCAGTTTCCGCAACTAGTCTATACAAGCTGGTTGTATTTATAGTTTTAGCACATGTGAAGACAGCCATGTAGAGCTTTACAAACACAACGTTTTTGTGTTTATTTGTTTGTCTTATATATGTTTTGTATTTGCCTTTGAAAAAGACTCATTTAGAGTCAAAAGCACTTAGGCTAGTTAGTTACTAGTTTCGTACTGTTCGTCGTCACTTTATTGCATCTATATATATATATATATATATATATATATAATATGAGGGTGAATTTTTAGGAATTTGCTAGTAAATCTTTGCAATAAATATACATAAGATAACATATCACAAAGTTTATTTCATTCAAGCCAAATAAAATAAGATGGCAAATTAGTCTATTTCAATCAAAGCCAATAAAATAAGATGGCATATTACAGTTCATATCAATCAGGCTGAATCAAATAAGATGGTATGTTACAGTCTATTTCATTCAAGCTCATACAATAAGATGGCGTATTACAGTTCATTTCAATCAGGCTGAATCAAATAAGATGGTATGTTACAGTCTATTTCATTCAAGCCCAAGAAAATAAGATGGCATATTAGAGTCCATTTCATTTAAACACAAGAAAATAAGATGGCATGTTAGTGTCTATTTGATTCAAATCCAACAAAATAAGTTGGCATGTTACAGTCTATTTCATTCAAAGCCAATAAAATAAGATGGCACGTCACACAGTTCATTTCAATCAAGCCCAATAAAATAAGATAGCATAATACACAGTTCATTTCAATCGAGCATAAGAAAATTAGATGGAATAACACACATCAGATTTCAAATCAAGCCCAAGAAAATAAGATGGCATATCATAAAACCCATTAGAAAAGCTGAACAAAATAGGATGAAATCAGACAAGTTCCATTTAAAATCTAACTGAAAATAAGTTGGCATGGCATATTACAGTCCTTTTCAAATCAAGCCCAACAAAAATGTTAGTGTATCACACATTCATGTTTAACTCCAGCCCCGCCAAATATGATGGCATAACACATATTCCATTTCAACTCAAGCCCATCAAAAAAGATGACAGGTCACTCTTTCTGTTTCAACTCAAGTCCATGGCATACCATGCATTCCATTTCAATTAAAGTCCAGGAATAAAAAGATGGCATACCATGCATTCAATTTTAATTAAAGTCCAGGAATAAAAAGATGGCATACCATGCATTCCCTTTCAACTCCAACCCAACAAACAAAAGACAGTATACCACACACATTCCATTTCAACTCAAGCCCATCAAAAAAGATGGCAGGTCACTCATTCTGTTTCAATTCAAGCCCATGGCATACCATGCATTCCGTTTCAACTCCAACCCAACAAACAAAAGACAATATACCACACACATTCCATTTCAGTTGAAGCCCAACAAAAGTATGAGGCAGTAACTAGTATGCTGCAACTCCCAATTACCTTTTTCTCTCCTTCTCTAGAAGACTTTAGAGCAGGATCTTTTATGTGCTTGCCAAATTTCTCATCTTCTACAAAAAATAAAATACATAGTTTTCTTACATTGGGTCAATTATCTACATATGTAGTAGTAATAGTAGTAGAAGTAGTAGATTATACTAAAATATGACTTGTTGATTCATATGAAGTTACTGGGACAAGAATTATTTATTACAAATACAAAACTTAAGCATATGCAAAAGTATTATAATTGCAGTTCTAATGTTTGCTTTTTCTTTTGTTTGTAAAATTATGACAGTCTGTTCATCAGGTCCATGTACTTCATGCAACTGGTGGCAAGTCTTCATGCATACTTTGTCTACTCACATGAAGATCTAACAACATTGTTTTATGACATAAATATAAACATAAAAAACAGAATGCATCACCAAAATAATATACATCTGTTCAGTTCATCTCATGTAAAGGAACAAAATCACTTAAAATGGTTTACAAATTTAAATGCTGAATACCATTATTTTAACTCCAATTATAGGAATTGAGACCAACTAAAATGTATCAAAAATGAAATTGACAAAGAAATATATGCCACTGTAAAAAGCTGAAACTGCTTTAACTTGTGAAAATCACATCTTCTAGATGTTGCTTGCTTTATCAGTTGGTTTGTTTGTGGCATCACTTTACAGCACACCAGCACAATAGTAGCTACATGTACATGATGCCAACAATAACTCCTAGATGATACAACTTTTAACTGTAAACAATAAAATGTGACATAAGAAAATGTAACAAATTCTTTAAAATGTACATTTTAAAAAATATACTTGAAAAAAAATTTATAAATCATTTTTCCTTAACATGTCCATTATTTTTCCTCAGGTGGTACATCCTCATAATTTTTTCAAGCAGATCATGTCAATATTTATTTTGAAAGCTGGAAATCTATGCACTCTACAACAGTGTGCTCTACTGTCAATGGACACTGGCAATCTACTAACAGACCACTCAATGGCCTAGTGGTTAGAGTGCCAGCTTCAAATGCAGGAGGTCATGGTTTCAAACCCCAGCTATGTTATATATATATATTATAGTTATATGGCACTAACAGCTGCCTCGATAGGTGTTCATCATAAAAAGTAAGTGTTCAGACTGGTCAGCCTATGACATGCTACATGTCTTCTTAATCTGTTAACAGTGGACAATGGCAGTCTACACACTAAGTCAGTATACCAAACCTTCAGTTTGGACACTTGATTTTATTTATTAAATTATTATGCCCAACCATGCCCACTATCCTTATGAAAATCATTTACTTAACATACCTCTACCGTAAGCTGTAAACTTTTTAAACTTTATACAAAGAGCTAAACATGTGACCCATGAATCAGGAAAAGATTGCCTAGGTGATCCATATTTAGTGCTCAATGATTTCTGGCCAAGAATGGGGACTAAAGATAGCATGCATTCGCAACAAGCTGTTAACTGAATACTTTATTATTGTAGAGTTAAGGTCGAATGCAGGATCCTTTTTTGAGGTATTATAAGTAATAAAGTGACTAATAGTGGTCCATGATGGCTTTTTTGTGTCTGATCAAAATTTGGCTGTCCTCTGGCAGAGGTGATATAAAATGGAAAGACCACCTAAAAATGATTTTTGCAGAAACACCTGAATAAGCATTCTAACTTTTTATGATCTTGTTCAACTGCTCGTGTTGTTCAAGATATTTCAAGTTAAAGTTCAATGAATAATAAAGAGCTGTCCCTTGCTCACACTTACACAAGAGTAATGCAACGCTTGTTAAACATTAAGCATCTATCAGCAACAGCAAATGTGTAAAGAGAAACTTTAACATCCATGTGATTCAACCAGAGGAAAAAAATGACTTTCAATATTTATGTCTTCAGAAAACAGCCAGAACTAGTCTTGTGGGTACCTGAACTGTTCCAGATGCAGACATGCCAACCCTGACAAGTCCATCTCAGTAAGGCAGTTTATTTTTTACTTAAGTTTGACAGTTTTCAGTAAGGTTATAAAATGTAAACTGCTACTGTAAAGCTTGAAGACTTAATTAAAAGTTCGCTATTTGAAACATGAAGCAAAAATAAACATTTATGTTTAACTGAAGAGATTGCAAAGTATGCGTCGATGTTATTTACCACTAGTACATTTGCACAAACTCAAGTTCCAACCACTATGCAGCTCAAAATGCTTGTTACTGTCTCTCAGAGACTTACTTCTTATCCTTTTTATTTGCACATGACGCAATCATATCTCCCGACACAAGTCACTCAAATTGGCATGTGATGTCCAAAAAACAAATGTGTCCATTCCATCTTTAGTTCCCAAGAAACCTTTTTATTCTTCGATGTTGACTGTTTTAACTTTTTAAGAAGCTTATGTTCCCTTTCATCTCAAACATGCATCGTTTGCTGGGTGCCATTTTTAAACAAATTCTATAATCAACAGTTGGATCATGCAAACGCAACACATGAACAAATAGTGGCAGTTTAAAGCATCTGATATGCTGCTGTAAAGAGAAACCTGGATCCAAATCAAACACAGATGAACAAATTTTCCAGATTTTTCAAGCAATTATCATTTATCAGTAGTTTTTGCTATTATGCAATAAGTCTGTATTTTAAGGGTAATTTTCATAAGACTTACAGCAAAATCTTAAGAGGTAAAAGGTCTGCAGATGTTGCAACTGATGCAATGATGTCCGGCCAAGAATGGGGACTAAAGATAGCATGCATTCGCATCAAGCTGTTAAATGAATACTTTATTATTGTAGAGTTACGGTCAAATGCAGGATCTTTTTATGAGGTATTATAAGTAATAAAGTGACTAATAGTGGTCCATGATGGCTTTTTTGTGTGTCTGATCAAAATTGGCTGTCCTCTGGCAGAGGTGATATAAAATGGAAAGACCACCTAAAAATGATTTTTGCAGAAACAGCTGAATAAGAATTTTAACTTTTTATGGTCTTGTTTAACTGCTATTGTGTTCAAGTTCAAGTTTAATGATTAATAATGATATGTCCCTATCTCACATTTACACAAGAGTAATGCAACACATGTTAAACATTAAGTGGCATCTATCAGCAACACAAAATTGTAAAGTGAAATTATAAAGCAAGTAGGGCTGTCAACGGGTACCCGGTTACCCGACTGTATAGAAAAACCCGGGTATTGAAACCTAAATGAGGGTACCCGTAAAAAAAATAAAAATCGCCACACTCGCCAACCACTTCAAACAGGCTATGGCTATAATTAGAAACCAGATCTCTGCTTAATATAAATAAATACGTCAGACAGTCTGTTTGGATTAATAAAATTCATTGGTGTTGTGCAACCAGACAAACCGTTATCCCCAGGCATTATATACCAAGGTTAAAACATTTGTTCTACAGGTAATAAACCTCTTTGCAGATGATAACTATTGAATGTGGGTGCTAAATGATCGGTACATTGTGTGCTCTTTTAATGAAATCCAGAGGGATACCTTTGATTTCCGAACAAACGTCAAAGAAACCCCACAATTTATATTATGAACAATCATCACCTATACACCTTGAAATCTTCGTAATGCCTCAAAGTAATCTTTGCTCGTTGTTTTTCTAGTCGACTGGCTCTGCGAATTTTGAATTTTGATATATCTATTTTCGATACTACTATACTACTACGTTTTTACCATAACTATTTTAAGATTTATAATTCCAAAATAATAACACTTATGTGAATATTTATTATTGAATGCAGGTATTTACTATCTACTATTTAAAGCGGGTTTTTATATTTAGGATATAAACTTTTTTTTACTACCAGTTATAATCATAGTATTTTTTAAAAATATATTGGATACATCAACTTTCAAGTCCTAACACTGCCATGGGCAGTTTTTGAGTTCCAAATGTGCTGAGATGGGTAACTCTAAACAATCAGTTTGTCAAAAATTGCTTTGATTATTACTATATATTTATACATACATACTGCTTGACACATAATTTAATGAATAAGCAATCTCAAATCATTTGCAAATGTCAGCTTGTCAAAGACTTTAATTTGCACATCACCTATTTCAAGGGGAAAATTTGATGACACATAGCCATTAGCAGAAGCAAACATGTGACTGAACACAAGAGTCCCCCCAAAAATTAAAGAATGAATTCATTAATATTGATTTCAGATAGTGACTTAGTGTTCACATTTTCTTTTTTACTAAACAGATACATAAATCTGCATAATCATTATAGGTGCAAACATTGATTAAGAAATATTTTGATATATTATTAAATTAGTAAAATTAAGTTATTGTTTTTATCATTGGCTCCTCAATTATTTTAATTTATGGTTTTCTGCAGTATCTCTCTTAAAAATCTATCCATTAAAAAATCCAGAATTATCCATTTTATCTGTACACATGTACCTGTCCTTAACTCTTCTAACCAATTTCTTTTCTTCATCTTATACTTATAATGAAAACAAAAGTTCTATATTGGTAAAATAAAAAATTAATAATAAAACAAATAATAATTAATAATAAAGGTGATAATTTGTTGTCTTATATTGGGAGCAAGTTCAAAATCATCCACAGACAAGTTCAATCTGTCAAATTTGTTTGCCCTAGGCAAGCTGATCTGCATAACATTTGTAAAGCCCTATACAGTAAAACAAAAGCTTATACCTGTACTTGAATGTGATTCCTCAGACCAGTCACTATCAACCTTATCTGTCTCATCTAAAGTTCCATTCAAATCTGACACAAGAAGAGCCCTCAGTCCATTATCAAGAGTGATAAATCTGAAAGGAGTAAGAGTTTTACCAGTCTCATGCCAGAGTTTATGATTCATTGCCTAAAAATCTCCAAAACAAATATCTACAAGCCTTGAATGAACATATTCCAGGAGTCATGCTACCAGGCGAAGTGGGCAAAAAAAGTCGCCTGAGAAGGTAAACTTTGCCTTTTCTGTTAGGAAAGCGAAAACAATGTAGTCCTCTGATTTTTCGGACATATAATGACTAGATTACAACTTTGAGATGCCCTCTTGCTGTAGACAGCAAGTTCTGTCAAGTGTTGTAACCCATGGCAAAATGTATTTACGTGGTGTTGATACCAATCAGCTTACAGTGACAAAGAAATTCTTGCATATTCACATGTAATTTTTAACAGCTAACTGATCATTAATCCTTTCCGAAGCAAGATATTACTGCTTGATTTCATGAAGTTGGGCCTATGATGAAAATATACCAAATTCTGTTTTGAAATTAAAACATCAATATGCAAATAGTAATTTGCTTTTAAAAATATTATTGGTAAAGAGCATTTTATAATTTATTTCTTTATTTTTCATAAATGGAGATCTTAACAGCCATATTTGCGTATTTTCTGTATAAAATTAGTTTTAAACAGTAACTAACATGTAATGACAGACTTCGCTGGATATATACCACTTCATTAAACTGAAAATGCGAAATAGTAGTGAAGCAAATATTTAACCAATGCATATTGTTATTACTAGTATGTAGGCAAATCATAAATATGCAGTGGTATTAATGGATATTTGTAATGAAGAAAGAAAAGTGAGTAAACCCTAGTTATGAAAAATGTCCTCTATCTAAAAATAGATGCACTCGCATTGTGCAAGACGAATTCTTGGATTTCAGTTGTGTGAAAAAAGGGTACAGCTTAGCTATATATCGACTTTAATGCATCTGTGTTATTGTCTATGAAGAGTTACATTAATGTTTTATCAAGAACAAAGACATCAGGACGAACAGTTTCTTTAAAGTCACTTGTGCATTTATTCCTATGTACATATATTAAGGCTAAATCTTTAACTGCAGTTGTACACAAAACATATAGAAAAAAAATAATTAAAGTGGTAGTTTATTAAGCATTTTTACCAACTGTCAGTTACAAGACCGCTATTGTTACTGCTATCAGTTAAATATTACAATGTGTAGCTTCTAATGTGCCTGTTAAGTCATACAGCCAAACCACTGCATTTACTTCAATTCAAACATGTGTACTACAAGTATAAATAGAATGGGTATGAATATAACATTTTCATATACATAA